TATGTTACATACTTGCGAGATAAGCAAAAATTTTCCGGGGATCGTCCAATTTTGGGGTTCTTTGACGGGATTTATATGGTGACGGGATTTATATACGACATATTAATCGTACTTGAGTATGTCTGTCGGTTAGTATCGTGGGATGAAATCGATAACCTCCCGTTTGGGGTACAATGGTTTATAATAAAAGTAAACGCGTTTCTAAAATAACGATTAAATATCTTAACTCGCCACTTGGATAATTGCGGGACAAGGAGCAATTATCCTTCGTTGATATACGGATTTAACGGTTTCTCATATATATCAACTAATTTAGAGAATAAAGTGTCAATAATATAGGTTCAGAGTAAATACAAACTCGTTTATTAACAATAATATATGATGTAAGGAATTTAGGAATACTATTCCCATGCGAAACACACCGACTCTAGCTGAAATTCTAGCTGCTTATATACTTTTTTTCGATCGGTCTAATTGAGCTATTTTTAGCAGCTAATTCTACTGTTCTATCTATTGTTTTTCAGTATACGTTTTATGACTTTTGCAGCGCTTCTTCAGTGGTGTGCCTGTACCCCGTGATGTTTGTACCCCCTACTACCGAATTCCGCAGCTGCGCTAGTGTTACCTCTGATCGAAATGTTGCTGCTGCGCCGTCGGAGGAGAAAATACGTCATTGATTTGCGCAGCATTACACCGTCTAATAATTGACAATGTCTAAAATTTTAGATTAAAAAAAAATCAGTGTAATAAAATTTGAAGCAACTAGATTAATTCACTTCGTCCTCAGTTCTTAGTCCTGCTATTAGTCACAAAAGCAGGAGTTGCAGTTGAGAATAATGGGTAAACCAATTTGCTGCTACCATAAAATATTATCCCATTAATTTATAAAGCCATAAGTTTTTAATGCATACTTGTATAATATTCCTTAAATCTAAACAATCTTCTAAAAAACCATCTTACAGCGAAAACATATAGTTTAAATGGGTCTTATCCCTTCAATTATACATATAACGGTAACTTAACGTCATTGGAAGCTTTCTTTACCGAATTTTTATACTGACAGTAAAGCTATCAATGATAACAATTCTGCAATGGTAATAAGAAATATTTTAAACAATCTATCAGGTTAAAAACTATTTGATTGATAGTAACAGGTACTAATTCCATTCATTCCAGTCACCGTTCCAGTCACCTTTTTTGGAAACCACTGCCAGTATTTTTTTGAACCCATGAATAAACTCAATCAACTTTTTTTTAGGCCTAATAGCCCCTTCTTGATGTACAAACGTGCATTTGAGTATGTTGTCGTAAGTTGCTATATTGACCGTAACAACAGGACCAATGGCCTGGATAGTTTCAATAATAATTAGATAAACACGTGAGAAATCAAAAACGGGTAATCACGAGTTTACTTACAGCTGTCGATTGCGAAGTCAACATTTCTAGTATCTTTACTTTTTCGTCTACAGGCTTATTCCTTTCAAAAGGCATCCAGACATCAGCATTAGACACTAGAAGAGATGCTTCCCTTCTCATCGAGTTTACTTTTACCTGATTCTTATAAGAATATGCACATCGTTGTAAGCCAGTGCGTTGAATTGTTCTTTGCAGATTCTTTGCAAGTTCGGATTCGTAAGTTTTAGTGATATCCCAAAAACCCAACTTGAGACTAGTCACTGGAATCATAAAGTTATACGTAGTAACGTATAAGCCTACGGCTGTATTGTTTATTGGTGGATAAGCGTACGGTCTAATGGATATCGGTGTCAGGGTAGATAACTTTTTGTCTCTATCCAAATCAACGAGAGAGTGACGAGCTGAGATTAAAAGGGCAGTATGAATAATCGCATGAATTGTCGAGTTTTGCTGTTTCGAAATTAACAACAATGATTTAAACTCATCCGGATCGAGCGACATTATTTTCAATTTAACACGAAAATCCTTAATATTAATATTTGTTGCATAAAAGTCCCCGGCATAATATTTCGATCTGGATTTTGTGAGAGAGGAATGTAACGTCTTCAATGATTCCGTCACTAATAGTTTTATCGATGGAGTGACATCGATAATCTTATCCCATGGTTCAAAAATCTGAGCATACGGAACGTTTACCGTCGATGATACGTTACCCAATAAATTATAATCTATATTGCCGTGCGCAACAGGGTTACGCGTATTATTACTCCCACTAGCGTTATCAATACTCAGATCATGCATGACTTTTTTTAACGCATTGTAAAACAATGTATTTATCGTAAGAAAACTGGGTATATCCATCAAACAATGATGGCAACAGAATAAAATAGATAGCTCATCATTTCGCTTAGAATGCACAGCGACTGTCATCCTCCACAACGGAGCCGTTTCACTTGACAAGTCAAATGGTTTTTCGTGTTCTATTTCCAATATCCTCTCTAAATCTTCATCTGACAGTATTATAATAAAGCGAATTTGTTGAGATAGATCGATTGTGGGAATATGAACAAAACATGGTTGGGGGGCTTTTGAATTTTTTATGCCAATCGACAATGCTGGTTCCCCGGGAATAAATTCGGCAAGGACTCGATAGATAACCGGGAGCAATCTCTTCTTTATGTTGGCCTTTAATTCAACTAGTGTTTTCATAGATGTTGACGGAAAAAGATTTTTGCATTGGTATCGCACAGTCGTGCAGATGTTCGTAAAGTAATCCATGTTGTGACTGATAACGTATGCCTTTTCGAGATCGCTAAGAGGCCGAATAATTTGTAGAGCCGAATTTTCCATAGTCCGAAATTTATGATTGAAACGAACTTGAAGGGTCGTTGAATTACTGGAAAGTTGGGTGAAGCCGTTTTAAAATATATTTTTTGAATAATTACAAATTTTTGAACTGCAAGCATTTCACGGGCCACCAAATCGATACTAGAGTAAAAAAGTCCTTGATGTTCAAAATTAAATACGACATCAAGCCAGACAAGTAGAATAGGACAACAACCATATGGCAATCAGGGGATAAACTCCTATTGTTGTTTCAATACTTGTTTTAAGCTTTTATTCTGAAAGCACGTGTTATACAACTGCCAGAACATTCTCTTTGGAAAATTCTTTTTGAACTATCAGAGGGTATTTTAGCAAGTGGCAGAATTATCTACTTCCAACTCCCACGACCTCGTTATTATGAAGAAAAGAAATGAATCAACAGCCTATATACTAACATTAGAAAAGGGGACAGATTTATGACAGCCAACTTGTAACTACTTACCTAATGACGGAAATTACCAAAATTGTGAGAAATTTCCGTAAGATATGCATACAATACGGCCGTAGCTGACAAAGCGTATTATAATAACCTTGATAGATAGGCAAGGCTTGTCAAGACAAACTCTTGTTGTTATAATGAGGTATATTTAATGTGGTTATCTTGTTGCATGCTGATGTTTTAAAAATATCGGCTTATAATAAAGGTAGCTTGAAAATTAATTTCATTTATTTGCCAAAATTAAATACTGCCCTTCCATGTACCGAGTGCCCCATACTTTTTTCTCTGTGATTTAGTAAACTTGGTTTAATAAGTGCAAAAGTAGCGACTAATTATTTAATTGGTAATCTGGTAATAAAGTCTGGTAAAAATATTACGCTCGTTATAACATAAGCTCGAGTTGATAATGACATCTTAATACATGTTATTAAGTAATAAGCAAATCAACCTGCATTAGACATACTTCTACCAATACTTATAATCGTATCTTGTTAATAACAACAATCTTGTCAATTTGAAATTATTTATACAATCTTTGACACAAAAGTATAAAACTATCGTGCTCATATTATTGAAGATGATAGTAGTCAAGTCTACGTTATAAGCTCTTTACCTAGTCTAAGGATTAAACGTAACCCTGTACAAGTCTTTACATATAACGTTCTCTTCATTTGAACTAGCTTGTTCGGCCTTCGGCAATATCTAGCTACACTCCGATGGATGTTCGTTCTAGACTAATAGCTTTTTGACGGTCGCTTTTTTACGTAATGTATTAAGTAATCTTTGTGTACCATCATCGGGATTTTCTAAAATAAGGAAATGATTGTCAATTTTAATATACTTGGCTTCATAGTATATAGCGTTTAATCCATTATCAAAATCTGATGTTCTTATGTTACTGGCAATATAACTTCGCCCATGTGTGTTTGCAATCTAATGATTGAAAACATTTAATAATGTCTATTAATTAATCTCCCTAATAAAGCGACAAGTTTTCAGCATTGACAGTATTATTTATTAAAGCTAATGTTACCATGCAATGTTAAAGACTTTCAAACTGGAAAAAAAGCTTTTAGTACATATTAATGTTCAGAAACTTAATAATAAGGTTTCTAAATTTGGTAATTTATCCCCCTTCTTTAGCTGACGGATTTTCAGATCATATATTTACTCTTATTGATCCGGGTAACCTGACTCGGGACACTATTTCATCTAATCAAAAATAAAGCCAATTACAGAGATGTCTTTCAATTTATGTCTTAGATTCGGGTCTATATTGAGAACATCATTATACTCATTCATGCAATGTGCACTGTCATATTTAATACACAACCCCTACGATGATCATAAAAGACACATATAATGTAAAACGTGTTACAAATAAACAAATGTAGAACACGAGCCACTCCACGTTTTAATCGTGTGACTGGTAAAGCTCAAATAATATATAGCATACAAATTTTTTTTTAGACTATATGTTTATTAGATATTAATATACCTTTCTAGCAATGTTACGGTCGCTTAACCAATCTTCGACCAAGTGTTTTATAAGTGCCTTAATTCAAGTGTTTTTATTTTTGCTACAATTTTGCGCATTGTGATTACTGGTATTATTATGATATAAATTAATTTAGCGGATGACGAAATTTTTAAATAAAATATAATAATTGATAATGTAGTGTGACTTACCTAAAAGTTAAAACTTATGGACAATATGATTAACCATTTACTTACCTACTTTGCAATCCATATTAATTTTTAGGTCTTTTAAGTTTCTTACGTATTTCGATCTTTAATGTTATATGAAAAAAGTAACTTAACAAGCCCTTGCGCTTATGCAGTGATATGATGTCAAGTAAATTATAACAAATTTATATGCAATTATTGTACTGTTTATATTAGTCAATAAGAAACGAAATTGTTCTATCGTGCTGACTGTATGTAGTCAATCAAAGTCGTGGCATCATAATTAATAATGTTGTTTGAAAAGCAAATGATAAATTCTTCTCAATGAATTATCTTGAGATGGGAAAGATTAAACCAATGAGTTATTTCAAAGAACTACATATGAATTTCCACATTTTCTTATTTAAACTTGTACAATGTATGACACTTAAATTTATAGTTATATACTACGAAGATATGAACGCTGACTGATAATGAGATATTTCCCATTTATCAAAAATTCTTGACAAAACATTAGTTAGTGAAAACAAAAAGATACTCCCTAAATGCACGCCCTCGGGATTGAAAAATTGAGAGCGTAGTATTAGTAATCACGGGATAACATTAAAATAACGATATTAAATGTTTATTGTAATTTATTAGTTTTTCACGTAGTAATAATCATTGCATAAAATACTGATCTATGCTTGTCTGTCGCATCATATTGGCTTATCTTTTTTTCAAGAATATTTGTCATTTTCACATGTTCTTTTGCGTTTTCTTGTTGAATCAAAAATGCTTGTACGCTTTAATGCAGCACTAGCACTGATAATAATAACAGCCGTTTCAGTGCTATCATCCATATCTTCCAAGTTACTGTTACTTTCTCCTATTCTAAACATTTTTACAAGTTCATTGATGATTTGATTAAATATATTATAACTAACACTAACATACGAAGTTAATTTAAAATATGACCTGATGTTAGAAGGTACTAATGGCCTGATTTAAGTATCAGGATTGATTGGCTAAATATCTTACTACCGTATGGTCTGATTGTAGGCCCGATGTAAACGATCAGCACAATGCGGGTCACGCAACTTAGTGTCAGGATTGATTGGCCAAATATCTTACCTAACGTATGGTCTGATGTATGGCCTGATGTAAACGATCAGCACAATGCGGGTTTGGTAAAATCATGCCACGTTTGGCAACTTAACATACTGTATCAGGCGGGAGTTGAATTAAGGCAACTTTCTTGGAAAGCAAGTATTCTACCACTATACTTCTAATTTATAAGAGTCACGTCTGTGCACTTACGGAGATTATTTTCATATTAGAATGATTCCTTGGGATTGTGAAATCGGTTGCGTATGTGCAGAATAGGGAGAGTGTGCATTTAGTCGTATAAGCAGGCGCAAATGGCATCGTCGCCATTACTCGATTCCTTTATTCAACAATTGCTCTCATTAAATAATTCCTTGCGTTTAGAATAGCTTTATACTCTAACAAATCAGTAGATTTTCTATCACTGGTAAAGTGCAAATACCCTTCCGCATCAGCAGTATACGAAATCGAACTCGCCTCTGATTTTGTTAAAATCTTTGACGTAAAGGTTTTAATTCTTATCACTTAAAAAAATTTGTCTACAATTTGGATTTGCTACTAAATAAATAGCTCCAACACATATTAATATTAATCTCCAAATCGCAGCAGCTATTACACGTTCGGAGCCTAACAAATTCCTTTCTTATATCGAAAATCTTGTAACCGAGAGTTATTAAATCGGGAGACCAGCAAAAATCTTAAAGGGTTCTTATATAGAGCCACTTGTAGTATAAAAGTCACATGACCGTAAGTTAGTATTGTTTCGCTTGTCGATCATTAACCCTAAGAATTTACCAACCGAACCGCATAGAGCTAACATTATAAATTCATATGCTTATTAGAAAATGTCTTATCCAACCAACCCTAAAGTTACAATACTTAGTTACTTTGGAGAGTCGGCACCATGAAGAATCAGATCTCAGCGGGGAGGATATGAATGTGAACTAGAGCAAGAAAAAACAAAATAATAAAAGCTCTGAAGATGAACAAAACTGTATGTAAGAGTTTACAAGAAGTGTGGGAAAAGGAAAAAGTAGGAGGGGAAGCACGAGTTTAAGAGACATACAGTGTGTAACAAAAAAAAACCAGATATTTTTATTTTGCCAATTTTCATAAATAATGGGTCATTTGAAAGATGAAAACGACCAAATTTATTTGATAATAATTAATAAAAAATCCGGTTCTCCATTCTTCTCAATAATGAGCTTACAACGTCGTTTTATTGATCCCACCAAATTAATTAACATGCTTTCCGGAATTCTATTCCACTCCACCATAAAACTCTCTCTCTAGTTTGCCAAGATTTTTTAGCATTCGCCCTTTACATTTATTTTTAACAACTCCCCAATTGTTTCTATCGGGTTTAAATCGGGAACATTCGATGGCCAGTCCATTACCACCGGAATATTTTCTTTCAAAAATTCGTGGCAAGACGACTCGTGTGTTTTGAATCGTTGTCTTGCTGGAGTCTCCACCTACCTTCAAGCCTATTTACTTCTGTAATGTGTTTCTGGAAGATTTCTACGTAAAACTTGGCATCCATTACCCTCCGGAAACAAAATAAACTTGTTTTACCGACTGCAAAAAATCCGCCCCATGCAAGGATTCTTTGGGCATGGGACGAATCAGCCGTTTGTCTTTATACCAACGTTCCGGTAAAGTTGGAACGCGGTTTCATCGGAAAATAATATCTTCCTTTAAGTGTTGACGCGCCCACTCAACACATCTTTGCTTACGGGCTTTGGTTAGCATAGGTGTTCGTTTAGGCAATGCTTTCGAGTACCCATAAGTGGTCAGGTGCCTCGAAATTGTTATGTGCGACACATCAACACCCGTATTTGACACTTTACGGGCTAAAGTCCGCGTGGATATTGAGTCATTTCTCCGTATTGACTGTCCGATTATCTTGGAGGGTTTTCCGGTTATTTTCCTGAGACGACCATTGCCTCGCGTGTGATCCATTGTTCCTTTTCTTTATGTTATCATAAACGGTGGAAAGGGAGATGTTTGTTTGGCGATAAATTTCTTGGCTCATCGCGAATACCCCCATTCTACAAAAGTAATATACTTTGACGTTGTGTTTCTTGCTTAGAAGCGGGCATTGCGTCTGTATATTAAATAAAAGTTGCGTTAAGAATCAGGGTTGTAAACAACCTCAAATATATTCCTGATTATTGTGTTTATTTTCTATTTTACATCTCCCTAATCAAACGCGTGGGACGCGTTTACGTCGCATAAAAAAATCCGGTTTTTTTGTTACACACTGTAATTGTCTGTATTCAAATCCTCAATGACTTATTTGTTGATTCCTTAGATCACAATAAAGTAAGGAAAAAAAATAGTCTGAGAATATGGTACTCTAATAAAGCAGGATTTGTATAAAATTTTTTCACATGCACATTATTCTTCAATAACATATCCTTTAACTATGTGATTGGGCTTAGTTAAATCTCCAAGACAAGGCAAATTACTTTCTTAATACTAAAGTACAATAACATAGTAATAATATTCTCAACAAAATTAAGCCCAAAATTTGGCCTAAATATGATATTAAGAAATAAACGCGTTTAGTGTAGAATAAATCCCTCGAACCTATAGCTTTCGAAACGAATTCCATTGAAAGAAATAGACGTAGTAATTAAGGCTAATAATAATATAGGGATAGCGTATACAAAACCGATTTACTATCGGGAGTATTTGAAACCCAACTTTAAGTGGTTTAGTGAGAGTAATCTCAAGATCGATATACGAAAAAAGTTATCGGACGAATAAAAGAAAGGAATCTGATATGAAAAAAAAAGAGTCCAGCATCAAACGTCCGGATTATCATTAAAGAAGGACAAATTAAAGGCAGTTGACTGTAAAGTTAGGAAATACCGCCAACACCGCGTACACTGACTACGACGACAACACATCAGCTCAAGACGTAATACAGTGGCACATCCATGAATGCACGCCCTTGGGACTCAGTATTTGTGTACACGTAAGGAGGATGTGCGCTTATAAAATAACGAATAGAAAACCAGACATTATTACACTTTAATAACTACTTCTTTTATTATCAAAACTTCCGAATTTAGCGATCACATTCTAATTCAAGCCATACTTTAAAAAAAGATTTGTTAATGTTAGTTTGGCGTAGTAAATTTGTTCAATATTTCGTAATAAGGTTGAATAATTCTCTGCGCGAACAATTATATTGTGCATCTATTTCTTTATCTTCTGTTCTGTTTAATGTGGAAACAGTGACTAAATTTTGATTAAATATTCGAGTAATTATACTATTTTAAGAAACAGTTATTGTTATGCACATATTGTTTCATAGTAGTGGCGATGCAGATTTATAAGTGAACTAGCATTGCACTATTGTATTGATTGAAATCGCGACAATTTAATTGACCGACTGAAATTTCACGTGTGTACACTAATGGAGGATATCTGGGACTCAAAATCTCTTGCACGTGTAGAATATGGAGAATGTGCATTTATGAGTGCACTTATGAAGGTGCCATTGTATTAATATTAAGCGTTGTTAATAACATTTCTGAAAAATATATATAAGCGGCGTAGATTTCAGCTAGATTCTGTGTGCGTGTGTGTGTTTAGTTACTTTCGATTTCTTTATTATTATAACAATGAACGAGTAGTTTTTATACTCTGAAATACATTATTAATATTAATGATCCGTTGCTTACTCCAGAACGCGTTCATTGTAGATAGAATTACGATCATAACCCAATCTGTAGACTACCGATTTAATCCCACTCGAGGACGGATTAATTATCGAAGATTAGTGTCTACACATTGACACTGAAGTCGTTGAAGGTCACTAACTGTCATTCTTATTTAACCAAAGTCGGAAAAGCCACAGCTCCGTCCAAGGGATAATTAAAACCAATAAATAGATTGCTTTCCCGCGATTGTTGACTCGACAGCATTAGTATTAGTATTAGTATACTTTATTTTATCTGGTTAACCATTTAAACATTATAATATTACAAGCGAACATAAATTTATACGGCATTCAATTATTATGTATACAATGACATCTACTACCATTTAGACCAACCCAAACAGTCATAAAACATGGGAATTATACTTAAGAGGTTTCTTTATTTCAAATCTCTAGCGCTCTCGAGCACAATATAAAGAAATAATGTGCTTGATTGTATTGTGAATCAAAATATTTTATACAAAAATATTGATTTTGGAATCTCAAGACTCGACATAAAAAGGACAAATACAAATCTTGAATCTTAAGTAATAAAGTCTCGAAATAGTTTTGTTGCTTAAAAAAGATAAATATATAAGATAATAATTTGATAAGTTATGGTATGACAATTGAGAATTCGTAGTAGTATATTACATGCTACTATTTGCTTGCTGGAGGACAATTCCAGACTTTAAGAATAAACATTATTTCTCCAACTATTTATGTTGTATCTCCGTTCAAGGCCATTCTCAGTTATAGACTGAGAATGGAATTGAACTGAGATACAACAGTTCTAAATGTGTGGGAATATTCAAAAGTTTGTTCGAAATAAAAGAAAATAAATTATTAAAAACAAAGGGTTTGATTAATATGCTCAAACATTGGAACAAATAATTGGCCTAATAATGTTTCTTCTTAAAGGCTGGAATTGTACACTAGAAAGCAAAAAGGAAAATGTAATACAATAAGACGAATAAATACAAAGACTCTCAAGGAGTCTATTGATTGCTGTCATTGCCATAGTGGATGTCGTTTAATGAGGGGACAAGCGCACCCTCGAAAGAATTGTCGTCATCCTCGTCGCCGAACAATGTCAAGTCGTTGACGTCGTCGAATAAAGCAGAGCCGTCATCCTCGTCGATGCCGAATAATGCAAAGTCCTTTAGAGATTTGTTATTGTATTCTCCCATCGTATTAGTCTCAACGCTGCTGTGCTTATTTTCAGGATTTGAGCCATAACTTGGCTCTTCTTTCGATATTGCACTTTGTGGTGGGGTCGGTAGCAAATGGCCGACATCAGTTTCGGTAGTTTGGAGGAGGGTTGAGACGTTTGCATTCATTATGGTGATGTGATGGATTATGTTCCTTGTTGAATATTACGAAAAATTATACACAAGACGAGGACAACGACTACGATTATGATATATTTTGAAATGTAATTGATATTCGGAGAAAGAGATGGCTGGAGTATGGAGATAGTTGGGGGGAGGGTCGTTTATCAATCAAGCAGGTTGGGTAGGACAGTATGCAGCAATTAAAGTACAACGTTACAATATGCATATAAATGAGTACTTTTTTGTAAATTAGTATTGTTCATACACCTTTACAATGCAAACAAACGATATTACATCATTGAATATAGTTCTACATAAACTCTTGCATAGACGTTGTTTTAATTTAGACATCTTTAGTAAAACTCTTTTCACTGTAAACGTATGTATGTCTCGTTCTTAAAGTTGAACACATTCCATAAGCAATCCTCACATCTAGTAGCGTATTCATGTAAAATAGAGCACTAGTTATCCCGAAGAAAAAATCCAATCTCGTTGAGAAACAGTATAAGCATTCTTTTCGTCGATAATCAGCGCAAAACCCCAATCATCATCTATATGCATCATGGTGTGATGACAAACTATACTGTCACTATCCTCTTAATTAGGTTAGCTTATTAGAAGCGGTCGAGTATACGAAAATTTTTATTGCACATCCATACTTTACGCACTTCTATCCTTTGTGTATAAATACACACGAATTTTTCGAAATGGGTGAATCTCTGGTTTGTTGAGTAAAGGGAAAATCAATTTATGGAATTAATACTGCGCTTCTTGAACAAACCATCTTTGTGTACACTTTTTCATCTACGGGAAGAAAGAAACAAGCTGTGAAGAAAGAATAGGCGACATTTCTAATGTCGCCTATTCTTACGTAAACGCATAAGTTTATATTTTAAACAGAACAGTGTTTATCGTCTTATATGGTAAGTAATACTCCGGATAACTCCGGATACTCCGAAACCATGTTACACGATTATCGTCAGGTGACAGAACGAGGTGACGTCACATTATTTATCGGTCACATGTCAACTTTGTATACCGTTCATTATGAAACTTTCCATATACCGTTCTGGCCGGACACAGAGAGTATGCCAACCCCTCCGGTATAAACACAAAATTTTAGTTATGGATAATTGAAGTAAACTATTACGTTTTCGTGTTCTATGATTCTTTCAATACTTTAGAGTAACTTATGATGTGGTTTAAACTTAGTAACAGCCCATTCTACGGCTCTACCCTTAATCCCTTGTCGTATACTTCCATGACTTACTGACAAACTTGCGAATCGTGGTTAATGAGAAATTCAGGAAGCTGTCTCTATAAGTCAGCAATAATTATAGTTACAAAGGCGTCTAGTTTTCCATTTTATATAAACCCAGTATTGAATTTGGGTATCGTTGATTTCACTAGCTGGTATTTTATATAATCTTTGCCATACACTTTCTTTATCCTCTTGAACTATTATACTTTGATTGCAATTAGTTACCATTAAATTATCTCGCCGAAAGACATTTATTATTACAAATCGAAACGAAAATTCAATTCGGTTACAAAAAACCCGATTTTACGAAAAACATTAAGCCTGAATGAATAAATTCCACCAATAAATTCGAGTTTCAAGTTTTGCTTATACTGGATCATAAAAGTAACCCAAGTTTAAAAGTTTATAACTTTTCGTACAGACCACCGGTAATTTTGTGGACCTTATCATGAAGAAAATTACCGGTCAGTTTTTAAAATATAAATTTTTTGGGAGTTGAAACGTTTTAAAGTCATGCCATTTTATTGTCGAGTTATGACTTCCGGCACCATATCCCCCACAAATTATAGCGCTAATTGTTAATTGATATCTATTGTCAACCTTACTATTACTTACTGTATTTTTGTTACCATTTTATCCTCTCCATCCGAGACGACACTTACCCAGATTTATAACTCTTTATGCATCCCCTGTTTCTATTGCTCGCGCTTATTATTCTGTCTCCCTATCTATCTACAAACCAGTTTAGGGTCGATCTGCTGATACAAATCCTTTTGCAGAATATCGATCACCCACCGAAGAACATTTTACTCTACTCTGGCATAATCGGTGCATTTTTGCAAAAAGCTGACTTATCTGCTCTTGACAGATGAGGTGGTTCTTTAGAGAAGGTTAATTAGCTTTATATTGATAATAAAGTAGTTTCTAACATCTTAATAAGCGTGCATAAAACACACATCTATTTCAATTGCCAGTAATCGCCGATAGAGCCGGAAACCTTAATGCAAAAGTGTTCGATTTGGCTTACAATACGATTAATATTTAATTGAGAAACGCGCGTTATACTGTAGTTGTTACTCTTACAGCCATCCCGCTAGTAGAAAAATAGTCGTACTTGAAGACGTCTGACGTATGGCCTACAGTTTCGACTTATTTGCTTAATAAATTTTTAAAATTAGCTAATTTTATTTTGAAATATAACATTAATAACGCTTTCAACAGTTTCAAAGCAAATTTTTGCTTTGCAAAATTTACTGCATTGCTTACCACCATTATTTTTTTTTCCTGTTCTGTATCAGCAAACAACAAAGAAACATAAACATAATACTGAACAATGCAGAAAAACTTCTTTTTAGCATAATGCTAGTCTATACACTAATGTAATGCTGATTTTATTGATGTTGATGTGATATCAAAGTTGATTTATATAATCTATATAATGTGAACTCCGTTCTGTAACCAACGTTGCTAATAGAAAAAAGTTGATGTTAACGGGATGAATATTGTTGTACCTCAGTTGGAGACCTGTCTCGGTTCTCGAGACAATTGAGCTCTGGACTGAGTGTCTGGGTTTCGGGACAACATAAATACAGATGCTTTCTACGCTGTGCTTGTTTTCCGCCTTCCAATGTAGTTGTTACGGTCGGGAATAAATAGGGTTTGTGGGAGGGCGATTTATTTTTCGCGTAGGTGTGTTCGCCGACCGGGGGATGTACCAGGCTTAGCTCGTACTATCGCCCCTACTACGATAGTTGTGCAATTAAGACTGAATAAGCCTACAAGTGACCTTATTAATTATTTATGCGCGCTTCTCACTCCCTATCATATAAATAAGAATACCTCTAATAGAATAACAACAACAATTATTCTATTAAAAAATTGAAGGGGAATAAACTACTTAATACAAACAGGGCTAACCTCGATTTGTCTTGTCTTTGAACTAATTAAACAGTAATTGTCTCGATAATTAATTATAAACTCTCGTTCCGTTATTCACAAATTGACAGCTTATTAACTTGATCAAATCAATGCTATTTCCGTTACAGCTTAAGTGAGCCGTTTATTGGAGTGTCCGGTCTACTAATCAATTATTTCGACTATGAAAGAACAAATTGTATATTGATAAGAATACCACTAAAATCGGTGACGATGGAAGAAGAGCTACTTATATATCTTTGAGCGTCGCAGAAACAGCAAAACGCTCTTTTTGACTATTTCTGGAAGAACAATTAATTATTAGTGTTTGTACTGGATTATTCAAAAATTTTTTCCTAATGCAGCGCGGTGCTGTCACAGATTTTTCAAAACGTTATTATTATTACTATTTTTGTGAAACTGAACTAAAATTAGTTGTCGATCATGGCTGCGGAGGAAGATTTTATCATGTGACTCACTTTTCAGATTCTAAATCTTTGATTAGGTTCAGAAAACTCGTCATCCTCGCCGTACTCACTCTACGATAAAAAAAATGCCCAAGGAGCGAGCACCTAACAGCAAATCACTTAAACGTCAAATCTGTGCTTTTCATAAAGATAACATTCTATCTACTCAAGTTGAAATTGCAGCCCATTTCAACATTAAGTATAATCTGGATATTGACCAGACAACTATCAGTAAGATAATAAATGAGAAAGATGAGCGGCTTTTTATTGAATGTATGTCTGAAAGTGTGTTATTTTGGCAAGCTTAATGAATATGCTGATGCAAGTTATCTTAACAAAAGTAGACGTTCCATTGAATGATGCTTGGGCACTGAGAGAACGGGGCGAAGTCTATCGCTTGCTTTATAATTATGACAATGCATTGAAAAATTTCAATAAATCACTGGAGATTGAATCAAATCATGCTTGGACGTTGAGTCGAAGGGGAGATGTCTATTACAATCTTGATAAATATGATGAAGCATTGATGGATTTCAATAGTGCATTGAACCTTGAACCAAACCAAATATGGGGTTTGAGCAAAAGAGGTCATCTTCTTTACTGGCTTGGACGGCATGAGAGTGCATTAATTGATATTAGAAAATCGTTGAAAAGCAAACCTAAGAATGCATGGGTATTAAGAACAAGAGGAGCTATTTATTCGCTGCATAACAAGAACTATGCTGCTGTGAGAGATTTCAATAAATCATTGGAGCTTGAGCCGAATGATGCATGGACATTAAGTAGAAGGGGAGAAGTTTACTCTGCACTTGAACAGTATTATAATGCTATTAACGATTTCAATAGATCGTTGGAGATCAAACCTAACGATGCACATGCATTGAGCCAAAGAGGAGAAATTTATTATATGCGTGAAAACTATGCCAATGCATTGAATGATTTCAGCAAATCATTAGAGATTGAACCAAATAACGCATGTGCATGGAAAAAAAGGGGGAATATTTATTATATTCTCAAAAAATACGGAAGTGCATTGTATGATTTCAACAGATCTTTGGCGCTTGAACCGCGGGATACATTTTCGTTAAAGAGAAGAGCGAGCATCTATTACCTGTTCTATCGATTCATTGATGCATTGATCGATTGTAACAAATTATTGGAGCTTGAGCCAAACAATGCTTGGGCACTGAATCAAAGAGGGAATGCCTATCATAAGCTTCGGAGAAATTTTAATGCACTTGACGATTTCACTAAGTCGTTGGATATAAATCCAAACGACGTATGGGCATTGAAGTGCAGGGCCAACGTCTATTATAAGATGAAAAAATATATATATGCACTGAGCGATCTTAATAAATGTCTGT